CCTCAGGCAGAAAGGGGGCATGTGCCAAAGCAGGCAGGTGTTGGAGAAGAGCAGCATGGCTCACGTGGTTGGCACTTGGAAGAGAAGCTTTGCAAGGAGGCTGCAGGTGGTAGCTGGGGCTGGGTCATGGAGCTCATGAAGGTCTCACTGAGAAATTGGCTCTCTCTTGTAGGCTGGGGGAACTCCCAGCAGCCCCCCAACAACCATAAATTCCTCATGAGTGCAACTACACAATGGTTTAATCTCTGAAGCTAAAGGACCCGCACTTGGGCCTACAGATACTGTTTAAAGCTTTCTTACATTTCTGGTATATTTGAAAGTTTCATTCAGACTAGTCCTCTTGCAAAGAATCCTTGCATTCGTGGGCTGACTTCATGTGACTAGCTTAAAGGGCCTGAGCTTCCACAGTTTAAACCATGAATGTTAGCGCCAGGCTGGTAATTCCTCCCTGCATCTGCTCCCTAGGTCCTGGTGGCATCACATGATGGCAGCAAGGGGAGGCTGAGCCCTCTTGGGCTGTTCATTCATGAGTGACAGCTAATTAAAAGTATTTCTTCTAAAAGTATCAGGTAGGCTGTATAGGAGATATCTGGATCAAGGGTGGTCAGGAGCCTTTCAAGGTTGACAAGCAGAGCTACTAAGATGAGGTCAGATGAGCATTTAGAAAGAATGCCCTGGATGCACTGTGGAGGACAGTGAGAGACCGGGGCCAGAGACCAGTGTGAGCCTGCAGAAATCTATGCCTAAACTGGTGCCTAGATGGAAACAGAATAGGACAGATTCACAAAGAAGCATGCAAGGAGGGGAAGTGTGGTCAGCTCTGTGAGCGACTAACAGGCAAACATGTTCTGCTGGGGGTGGGGAAGGGAGTTCAGGAAGGACTTCCTGGGAGGTGGCCCACCAGAGCAGCCAGCACCATGCTCCATACACCACCCTCCCACCCAGACCGTGGCAACAGCCTGCCGCCTCGCTCGCGCGCGCGCGCTCTCTCTCTCTCACTTGTCTTTTTAAATTTTTACTTTTTTTTTTTTTTTCATTTTACTTGGAGGGAAGAGACAGAGATCTCCCATCTGCTGCTTGACTCCCTAAATGCCTGCAACAACCAGGACTGGGCCAGAATGAAGCCAGGAAGCTAGAATTCGATCTGGGTCTCCCATGTTGGTGGCAGGGACCCAAGTACTTGAGCCATCACTGCTGCCTCCCAGGGTGCACAACGGCAGGACACTGGATTAGAAGTCTAGGAGCCACCACTTAGTGCAGGCGTCCCACGTGACGTCTTAACTGCTGCACCCATGGCCCACCCTGCAACAGTTCCTTAACTGGTTTCCAGGCTTCTACTCTTACTTCCCTTGCAAGCTGCTCACAGCAACCGACATCATCTTTCCAGATGTAAATCAGGTGTCCTGTTCTGCTTAGCACCCTTCCTAGCTTCCTGTTGCGCACCAGCTGGGGCAAGGCTCTTTGTTTTTCCTCTACAAAGCCTGCACGTCCGGTTGGGCCCTGCTGACCTCTGACAAGCTTCCCTCTCCTCAGCCCTCTGAGACCAGCCTTCCCTCAGTTCCTCAGATGCCCCCACGCCCCCTGCCTGGGGGCATGCTCTTCTTCACACCTTCCCTTTCATCAGTTGATTGCCAGGTATCCTTCAGAGCTCAGCTTCTCCCAGAAGCGTTCCCTAACCCCAGTCCAGATCATAACATCCATGCTGCGCCATCACAGCACTCACCACCACCTAAAAATGTTGGTGGCCTCAGCACCCATCTCACCCCACCCCCACCGGGAGCAGATCCCTGAAGTGACTCTGCAACCTACAGTGTGTTCAGTCAATGTGGGTCGGCTGGAGCTCAGAACAGCAAGTGTCTGTCTGGCCAGCGGGGTTCCCAGGATGTTGTGGACGCAGAACGGCTCTGGCTAGGTTGTGGGGGGGGGGGAGTGTGTCTGGGTGGAGCTCAGCCTCTTAACTTCACCCCCATCTCCCTTCCTTCCCTTGGCCCGGTCTGCCAGTTTCAACGAAACATTCCAGTTTCTCTTCTGGACCATGTTCGGCATGGAGGAGCACAGTGTGGTGGACATGCCTCAGTTTCTGGTGCCGGAATTCGTGGGCCGTGCCCTTTACGGCATCTTTACTATCGTCATGGTGATTGTGCTGCTCAACATGCTCATTGCCATGATCACCAATTCCTTCCAAAAGATTGAGGTGCGTGAGTCAAGGCTAGCTGAGGCCCAGGAGCAGAAGAAAGGAAGGAAGGGGGAGGGACAGGGTGCAAGGAGTTAAGGCACTTGAGTGTCTGCTTTGCCTCTACCGTTGTCTAGAGTTCTGTGGCTTTAGCCAAGCTTCCCTCTGGAAAATGAGGGTCCTACCAATGCTGTCACCATCTCTAGACACCAAGTACTCTGCTCTACCCACTTTACGGCTTGGGGAGGGGTGCAGATGGGAGCACCAGAAGGAAGTGGATGGTCTGGGCAGCTTTCATCAGGATGAAGGGTCATGGGGAGAGGGAGAGGGAGAGGGAGACACCTGCAGGGGAAATGCGGGTGATAGAGAGGGATGAGATAAGAAAGCAGCTGGAGAGTAAGAGCTGTAAGGACTCGGGCAAAGAGAGGCAGACAGAGCAGGCAACAGAGCCAGGTGCCAGCATGGGCCTCGCACAGCAGCCTCCCTCCCTGCCCCAGGACGATGCTGATGTGGAGTGGAAATTTGCTCGCTCCAAGCTCTACCTATCCTACTTCCGAGAGGGCCTGACGCTACCCGTGCCCTTCAACATCCTGCCCTCCCCCAAGGCCATCTTCTACCTTCTCAGGTGATAACCTCAGAGCCCTCACTTCCAACCCCCAAGCACTCAGGGCCCCTGCATGCTACCCAGCTCCTGCCCCCTATCCCCCCAGCCCCGTCCCGACTAACCTCTTCCCACCATCGAAATCACAGGAGAATTTTCCAGTTCATTTGCTGTTGCCGCTCCTGCTGCAAAACCAAGAAGCCCGACTATCCCCCAATCCCCTCCTTTGTGAGTATCTCACCTTCTTGTTGCTGGTCTGCCTCACAGCAGCCCTCAACTGTACTGCCTGCCAATGCATGCCCTGGGCTTCTGTCTTTCCACGCGTGTTCCCCAGGAGTCCTGTTTCCAGTTCCCTCTCTCCCTGTGGTTTCTGCTCCCGCTCCCTAGCGCTGGCCATTTCCCCAACTCCCAACCCTGTGTCACATGACTTAAGCACACCCCACCCTTCTCCCAAGCTACGGAGACCCCTTCAGCTCCAGACAAACCTCTTGTCTGGACCAAGACATGGTTGAATGTTTACGTGCCGGAGTCCCTCCCTAATGCACGCCAGCACCGCTGCCGGGTCTGTAGGGGCCTCTCTTCCTCCCCCGTCTCCCAGTCCATACCCCGCTCAGGTCTCCTCACAGTCAGCCCTTCTCCAGCTTCAGGCCCCCATCTTCTCCCTGCCAGGACCGCTCTGGGAGATGGAGGCAGCCCAGGTCTGGGTGTGTTGCCTTCAGGAAAGTCTGCACAGACTTTGCCCTGGTCTCTTATTGCTGAGGGTGGGGGCAGTGGTAGAGGTAGGCCAGGTGTGGATAATCTTACCTTCCTGCCTTGCCATCTAGGCCAATCCTGGGGCAGGGCCAGGGCCAGGGCCAGAAGGACAGCGTGTCTCCTACCGCCTGCGCGTCATCAAAGCTCTGGTCCAGCGCTACATTGAGACTGCCCGGCGCGAGTTCGAGGAGACCCGCCGGAAAGGTTAGCTGCCCACCTCCAAGCCTGCCCATTCCTGTGCCATTCCTGTGCCCTGCTCCGCTGCAGGCCCACGGCCAGCCCCATGCCCTCAGCCAGCCTGCACTTGTATGTGGCCCCGTCCATGCTGCCCCTTGCTTTCGGTTATCCTCCGACTGGCTCAAGCATTTCTCCCCCTCATTGTGCTTGTCATGCGCTCCTGCCGCTGGCCATTCTCATTCACTCACTGCCTTATTCACTCATCCAACCAGCAAGGTGCCCGAGATTCTCCAGCTTCCCATGTCCTGACCTTGCCACCCTCCTACCCCCAAGTCAAACACATCTGCCCCAGGCTCTGCCTTCCCACCTGACCCTCAGCCCATGAGCCAGGCCCTTGCTCCTTACAGTCTACTCCCTCTTGGACCCCAGACTGGGTATCCCCTGGGGTCCTGTGGAGGGTAGAGGAGGTACAGCACGGGCTCATCTTCTAGAGACCTCCCCTCATAACTCCACTGCCCCCAGACCTAGGCAACAGACTGACGGAGCTAACCAAGACCGTGTCACGGCTTCAAAGTGAGGTGGCCGGCGTGCGGCGGGCCTTGGCCGACGGAGGTACACCCCGGCCTCCTGACGGTGCCAGCATCCTCAGCCGTTACATCACCCGGGTACGCAACAGCTTCCAGAACCTGGGCCCCCCCATCCCTGAGACCCCGGAGCTGATGGTGCCAGGGATGGTGGGGACCCAGCAGCTGTCTTCAGAAATGGGGCTTCAGGATGCCGGCGGCACCAGGGCTCCAGCTGCCGGAGAGCCCAGCCCCTCCTCCCCAGCTCACGTGCTGGTGCACAGGGAGCAGGAAGCCGAGGGGCCGGGGGACCTGCCCCAGGAGGAGGATTTGGGGGCCAAGGAGGGGCCCTGATGCATAGAGGGAGGTCACTTAGTAGGCACTTAAGCTGCTTTCCTTGCCTCAATAAAATGTCTTTTCTGAATGTCGGATGCCTCCAGAGTCTGCAAGAATGCTTGTCTCTTGATGTTGGGGCACACTCCCCCTTCTCTTGCCTGGAAAGGATCCAGCAAACACGTAGCTTGCTCTGGGGACCTGAGAAGCTGGGCCTCCTCAGATCTCTAGTGGAAAGAGTTCCGCCTTCACGGTTAACATTAAGGACCCTCCGGCTGTGAAGTTCTGGATGTGCAAGTTACAGTGTGGGACACAGGTCTGCACATGAGATTGTCATCTAGGAGTGGTCACCACGTTACCCTTTCTGGTCCCTTAGCCAGGCCAGAGCACAGCAGGTAGCCCAGTCTCGTGGAATCAGCCAGTCACAAAGTCCCATGTCTCCACACTGCAACACCGTTTAATGGAGGGGCCATCACAGGACTTCCCCTGCTTGTCCCACGCAGTCCCCACCACCTAGCCAGACCCCCTCAACCCTGCCATTGCCTCAGATCCCCCGTCATCCTGGTTGGGGAGATGGCTTTTAGGGCTGGATCCGGAGCCATGTTCTTGTTTCTTGACCCTGTCCAAATCACCCCTTCTTCAAATGAAGGTCACCAGTTCCTGCGATTCCTAAGTGGCAGGTGTTGGACTTTCAGAGCCCAGCCTCTGAGAGCCGGAGTCCCCCAGGGCCTAAGAGCAGGGTCTTCCAGGGGAGCAGCGAGAAGGCCCCTTTGGAGGGTAATTCTGGCTGCCCTACCATGAGAGAGAAAAGAAAAGCAGCTGAGAGAGCCAGCAGGGCCGGGGGGTGAGGGGGAGTTGAAGGAGCTGAGGGAGGGGGCAGGCGGGTGACTCACCTGGGACAGACACGCAGCCCTGCCTCTTCTCCCCTGCAAGGGACAGCACCATGAGGCCTTCCCATAGACAGGCTCTTCCCACAGACATCCCTTCCCACCAGGCCCTGTCAGGGCCAGCTCCCCTCTCAATCCATCCTTCCCTTCACCGGAAGGCAAACTTCTGACTCCCTCCTCCCCCTAGGAATTCATTCTAGACCACCTTTCATCCCTGCAGCGCGCTGGCTCTGCCTCAGCACCTGGGAACGGCACACACGTGTCAAGCTGGGGCCTCCTGAGGGCTGAGGCAGGATGCCAGTCTCCTTCCACTGCTCGATAACCCCCTTAACCAGGTGCCTTTGCTCCATCATGCGGGAGAACAGATGGAACCAACACTTCTAGAAACAGAGCATCAGCTGAGAATACTCACGGACTTGGAAAACAGTGGCAGAACCTAAGGCACAAAGGACTAAGGACGCTAGCTGACTTGCAGCCCTCCACTTCCTGTTAGTCAAGTGGGGCTCCTGAATGCCCTGGGGGAGGGCCTGGCTTGTTTCACCCCCCCACACACCAGTCCTGCTTCCCCATGCACAGCTCACCACCCAGATAGGCGCAGTTAAAGTGGCTGCAGGTCTGATTATAGCTCCAGAGAGTCACTAGGCTCCGGGCTCCATCCTGGGAGAACCTGGTGACCAAGAAGACTTCATGGGGGGGAATCAGCACCTCACGCTCCTCGGGGAAGACAGACAGGGCCTGGATGGGGGCCCCAAAGCAAGTCCTTAGAGAGAAGAGGGTAGCGTTACCAAATCGGCGGGCCACCGCCTCATCCAGGGAGCTGGAGGCAAACTGGCCCAAGCGGACAGAGTCTCCCAGCCTCCTGGGTTCAAAGCGGAGGCTGCCCACGCCTCGGAACACCACCTCCCCAGGTCCCCTGCTGCAGCCGGCACTGCCCCGCAGCAGCTGCAGGGCCCGGGTCAGGTAGAAATGCAGGGCCTTGAAGGGGAAGCGCCTCATGTAGAGCTCCCGGGAACCTCCACCCGTCCGCACGGCCTGGTTCAGCTCCCAGTACAAGGTGTTGGATGAGTTGGTGTAGACCATAATGGCTATTCCATGCTGTGCTTTGAATCCAGGGGGCAGAACAAGCCCTCGCTGCTTGTGTTCCCAGGCCTCCTGGGCTGCCTCCCAGGAGGCCCGCAGCAGGGCATGGCGGGCCATCTCCTCCTTCAGCAGGGGGGCTGCCTTCTCCTCCATCTCCTCCGAACAGCCCACATAAGCATCATCGAAGGTGTCTGGGGCCAGACCCAGGGCCAGGATTGGAACAGCCTGGGCCTGCGGAGAGGTAAGGAAGAGAGCAGCCACACAAGAAAGGATGTTAAGTCCAGAGCACAGACAAGGGCCCAGTGGCAGGTGGGTTCAAAATACAGAAGCTCATTTCCATTACTAAATACCTGGTGAATGCAATTTGGCAAGGGCCCAAGAAAAGGCTTAAATAGCACAGCCACTGCAGTCAGACAGACGATGAGGTCAAGTCCTGACTCCATCCCTACTCTCCTAAGCGAGTCTCAAATGGGGGGGGGGGGGCATTCAGGTTATCGTCCCATAACCTGACTTCCAACAGCCCTTTTACTGCAAATACAGCCCAGAGACCTTTACTTTTGTATGACCTAAAAGTGGTCACCTTCCTGAGAAAGTGTCCTGCGTCCTGGGGGAGGTGGGCAGGTGCACCCTCAGAGCTCTTCTGGACCTAAGTCTCAGTGTGCAGGAGACACACAAGCCCACCGCCAAGTTCCAACAAGCTGGAGCATCCCCAGCCCCCTCGGGGTCTCCCCTTCATTCTTCTGGAGGCTCTGCAGGTGCGCGGCCTCCACACCTAATTACTGCCAGCTCTGATCCGCCAGTGACCTCTGCCGCTAAAGAAGCCTTTATCCCAAACTTGGGGAGAGGTCAAGCCCTGAGCTGGGGGGTTGTCTGGTAGGAGAGGAGAAATGGGAGGGAAAGTGGGAGGCAACCAGAGGGAGGGGGCTTGCATGGGAGTTGCAGATGGAGGTGGGGCTTTGGGGAGAGGGAAGGGGGACAGGGAGGAGTCCCCAGTCCAGCTCCTCAGGGCCTGCCCCACACCAGTCCCCTTCCTGAGTTACCTGCCAGAGTGTGTGGAGGCCAAGGTAGCTGAGGACGGTGAGCAAGACAGCCAGCATCATCCCTGGGCAGACTCAGGAGTTCAGGTCCGGACCAGGAAGGGACCAACGACGGGGGGTGGGGGGGGGTGGGGGGTGTCCCGGCTGTGATGGCCTCCTAGCACCCTTTCTCCCACGGAGTAACGGGTCCCAGGTCCCGGACTGGGGCCCAGCGAGGGGCCGTGGGCGGAGCCTTGGGTTTTGGAGGCCCCAGCACACCCCCGAGTCTCCGCTCAGACTGCCTGGCGTCCGGTCACTCAGCGTCTCCAGCCAGGGATGGACGCTGAAGGTGGGGCGGTAAGCTGGCTCCGCCCAGAGCCCAGGACCTACCTGGAGGTGCGGAGGCTGAGCGGGAAGGGGCGCGGAGGTTGGGGCTGACTGCACCGCTCTGAGTCCGGCTGACAAACAAAGTCCCCGCGGCTAACTATAGCCCCTGGGCTGTAACCCGACACTTCTCTTCCGCAACAACGGACAAGGGGCTGGGGAGAGGGAGGGCCAGGCCAGGGGCTGGGGCCTAACTCCACTGCTCCAGGTCCCAGGTCCGGAGGTTCTTTCTCCAGGACCCTCCTCGGCTCTCAGCGACTCCCGGGTCGGAGGAGGGCACTCAGGAGACTTGGCCTCTCCCTCAGAGGGGCCCTGACCCAGCCGGGCCCCGGCCCCCAGAACGCTAGGCCTCGTGAGAGCCCTGGCGGCCAAGAGGTCAGCACCTGTGCACTTTCCTGATTTGCATACAATTTGCATAGGGTCTCCACTTCCCAACGCCCTGGGTCACGAGCTGCAGTATCTGCGCCTCACCCCCCTGCCTTCCCTTCTCCTTACTCCACTCCTCCTCTCCCATTAGCAGTGTGTGTGTGGGGGGGGGCAGCTCCTCTACTGGGCTCCTCAGGGTGCGGCCCCGCCCCTTCCCCCACCCTCTCTCTCTGGTCCACTCAGACTCAGGTGACCCCTTGTTTACAAACACTGGCCCTTCCCCCACGGCTCTGGGCTGGTCTATTATTAGCCCCGCTCTGAGTTCTGGGCGCCCAGTCAGAGGTAAGGAGAGCAGGGGCCGACCCAGGAGTGAGAAGTGAGCGCCCAGAGGAGCTTTGAGAGCCTGAGCCTGTAGGAGGGAGCCAGCAGGGTGTCGGCCATTAGGATTTAGGTCGCCTGTGTGCTGGGGCTGCGGTGGGCCCTAGACTTCAACCTGGCCACCCTCACATTAGCCCATTCCTGACCCTCCTCTACCCTCACACTTGGAGTCAAATAAAGACTTTTCTTTTCCAACAGTCCTATTTTCTCCAAAAATCCTTCCTGAAGCCCAAAATAGAAAGACCAACTACATGTCCAGCACGGGGGAGTGTGGGCAAGAGAGGTGGAAAGCAGGACAACCCCCAGACCGAGCGCTTCTTCAGAAGCAGCCTCAGAACCCCCTCTCAGGACCCCACTTCCGGCGACAGGTGCAGCTCCAACCCTCCCACCCTCCTAGCCGCTGTTACTGTGGAAAGTGGCATCGTGGGGACATTTGCTGCTCCCTCTCCCAATCCTGAGTGTGGGCATCTGCACAGCAGATAATGTGAGGGGACAGCTCTGGATCAGATTTTCTGGGGTCACTATTTGGTCTCTGTCCACTCTCTGCCTTTGGGGAATTGCTTCTCCCATTCCAGGACCTGGAAACCCCTAGAAGTCTTAAGAGATGGAGTGAAACAGTCATGGGAGGGGGTCCTGGGTGGGCAGTGGTCCCCCAGGACCTGGCACCTGGGACCTGGCCTCCTTAGTCTGAATCTCTGCCTTGCTGGTCACTTAAAAGTCACAAAGTGCAAGAGATTCTCTCTGAAGCCTCCTCCTTCTCTCCCCCTGGCTGCTCAGGGTCAGGACCAAATCCAGAGAGGAGGTGGCTGTCTCAGCCTGGATGCTCCACGCCAGGGCCCCACCTTCCCTCTTGCTCCAGGGACTCCCGTTTCATGAAAAGAGCCCTGGCCCAGGTCAGATGGGCAGAGGCCAGGATTCCTGACACTCAAGGAGACACCAGAAATAGATGGGGGAGTGTCCCGTTTCTGAGCAGCTGAGAGGGGGAGGGGTGGGACCGACAGTATAAAGGGGGCCCTGTCCTTCTCTTCCCTGGTGACCATCACATGAAGCCAACACCAGCTCCCCTGCCCCGGACAAGGCCTAGGTAAGGGGCTTGCCAGCCTGCTCCTGGGGGATAGGGAAGGAGAGGTTTTAGAGGTGACGTTTTGGGGATTAATGGTGGAGTTTTGAGAGTCACAAGGAAGTTTCCAGGAAACTTTTTGGATGGAGAGGTTTGGGGGATCTAGGAAGGTTTCGGCAACTGGAAAGTTTAGGATTCCATGGGAAAGACTTTGATGTGTGTGTGACATTTGATGTGTGTGTGACATTTCTAGAAAGGCATGTTCATTAAAGGCCAAGGTCAATCAGGGTAGATGACAAGAGAACTGCCTTGGGCAGGATGAGAGGCAGAAAAGGGAGCCTGCAAGGCTGTGCAAAGCAACAGACGGCCCAGGGCATCTGCTTCCTCCACTCCCACACCCTCCTGTGCCTGCGGCCCCACTCCACACCCCTCCCTGGTCACAAGGCCAGCAGTCTCCCTGCTCTGCAATGGTCTACACTGTTCGCTAGGCCCAGAAAGTCTCTGCAGCATTCTGGGTCCCACCTGTGCCTGGCCTTGGGCTGAGTCCCAGGACACAGAATGGGATGTGCCTGGCCCTGCCCCCGAGGAACTAAGACCACAGGCCAGCCCAGTGGGAGCCCAGCGCAGTCAGAGGCTTCTTGGAGAGGGGGTTCCCAGGAGAGGCCACGAGTGCAGGACCACAGGAAGGCAGAATCTGGCAGGGCGGGGAGGGAGGTTGTTCTGTAGGTAACAGCCATGCCTATGGGGAGGCGTGTCTAGAGCTGTGCACATCACCATGGGCCTTTGGCACTCCTGCACACTGTGTGCTTCCTCCCATTAGCGCAGCGTGGAAACACTGGTCCTGGCTCACCCGTGCTTCAGTTAGGAGCTTTGTGTTCCTTTGGTAAGGTGTGTCACACACTACTAGAAATTACATACACCCAGTTGTCCCCACATCCACAGCGCTGAAGGCAGCAAGGATGTGCGTTCTGTTTTGGTTCCTAATTTTACCCTCAGCGCCTGCACGCTGCATTAGCCCACAGGGTGTCTGTGGGATAGATGAGTAAGCAGGACCTGAGGGAGGGAAGATCCCAGGTCCAGTTTGGGACCCGCTGGGTGTGGTAAACTCTGCTGCTACCCCACTGAGCAGAGCAGCTCGGTTCTCACCTGTGAGCTGTACACAGCAATGACAGGATCTGAGGTCTGATGATGTAGATGTACAGACACGGAGTCCCAGTGTCTGAGGGTCGCTGAGGTCTCAAAGCTCGGTCCCTGCAGAGCCGGGGGGAGTGAGAGGAGATGAGAGTGGGGGCATGGACTTCATACTGCAGAAAATGCAGCTCACTGCTAAAATCCTGGGAAGACAGCACAGGTTGGCCCAAGTACTTGGGCCCCGGTTCTCATATGGGAGTCAAGGATGAGGTTCCAGGTTCCTGGTTTAGCCTGGCCCAGCACAACCCAGCAGTGGTGACCATCTGGGGAGTGGATCAGAGCACAGAAAATCTCTGTCATTATGCCTTTCAAATACAACAAATAAATCTTAAAAAAAAAAAAAAAAGTGGGAATGGGAACATAGGGAGAGAAAGAAGAAAGGGACTTTGTGATTCAGGTGCTGCCACCCCCTGCCCAGAAAGCACCCATTGCTTTGTTAAATTAAACAGGATAATCGCACTAGCAGTGCGAGCACCCTGCCTCGAGAACTTAGGATCCCAATGACCCCTCAGAGGCGGGCTCCCCCTCTTCTGGACGCCATCGGGCCCCTCGTGGCCTTCCCAGCGAACAGAGGCTGGGCTCCCTCACTTACGGAGAAGCAGGCGGCCCCTGGACTTCTGTTTCCCTGGACAGAGCAAGGCCTCTCTCTGTCCCCTCCTGGAGGCAGCTGAGGGCGGAGAAGGAGAGGGCTCAGTGCACAGCAGGAAGCAGGGACAGGGCAGGACCTCTGGACCGCGGCCCTGCTCGCCTGGCCCTGGAGGCCAGCACAGCCCCCTGGTGCCCTCGGCTTCCTGCACGACGGGCCTCAGCCAGACCAGAGGACGCGGCACTCACTCCTGTCCTCAGAGTTCCTGCCGCCACAGCCTTCCCTTTCTCTCCTGCTGCCCCAAATCCTCCCGCCCGCAACGCACACCTTTTCTCTCCCCGTCTCCACTTGCTGACGCCTTGTGCTCCTAGTCAGCCTGCGAGGCCTCAGTCACATGTCACCTCCAGAGAGTGTCCCGCGTCCCTTCCAGCAAGACAGGTCCTCTGGCCCCTCCCCGAGCCTCCGTTGCTACCTCATGTCGCTCTGTTCCCCACGGGGCAGAGGTCGGGGTGGCACAGACGAGGTGTCAGTGCACACTTGTTAAACTGTACGTGTTAACACTGCAATTTTCCAGATGAGGAAAGTAAGAGTCAAAAGGAGAGAGAAACTGGCCTGGGGTGGCCCCAACCATGTGGGTTCCTGCCGTGGCGAATCTGCTCCTTCTGTCCCTGGGCCTTCTGGAAGCAATTCAGGTACGGCTGTCCTCCAATGGCCCCATCCCTGAAGGCACCCGAGCTGTCAGGTTCTCCCGGACCCTGGAAGGAGGAGCAGAGAGATGAAGGACTGGGTGCTGCCCGCCTCGGGAGTACCTGCCTGAGCTCCAGCCGAGTCTCCAGGGAGCTTGCGGCTGTGTGTCCAAGCCCTCCTACCCTCCTGGGGTATTGAGGCTCCCAGCACCACACTCAGCAGCAGAACCCCCAACACATCCTTGCCACTCTCTCCCCTGTAGGCCCAGAGCCACCTGGTCACACGTCGAGACCTCTTCTCTCAAGAGACACCGCTGGACATGGCCCCGGCCTCCTTTGATGACCAGTACGTCGGCTGTGCAGCAGCCATGACAGCTGCCCTCCCGCATCTCAACCTCACGGAGTTCCAGGTCAACAAAGTGTATGCGGACGGCTGGGCACTGGCAAGCAGCCAGTGGCGGGAGCGCTCGGCCTGGGGGCCCGAGTGGGGCCTCAGCACAACCCGGCTCCCCCCGCCGCCTGCGGGATTTCGGGATGAACACGGGGTGGCCCTGCTGGCCTACACGGCCAACAGCCCCCTACACAAGGAGTTCAATGCCGCGGTACGCCAGGCGGGCCGCTCCCGGGCCCACTACCTCCAGCACTTCTCCTTCAAGACCCTGCACTTCCTGCTGACCGAGGCCCTGCAGCTGCTGGGCAGGGATCAGCGAATGCCCAGATGCCGTCAGGTGTTCCGGGGGGTGCATGGACTGCGCTTCCGGCCAGCAGGGCCCGGGACCACTGTCAGGCTGGGGGGCTTTGCCTCTGCGTCACTGAAAAATGTAGCAGCCCAGCAGTTTGGCGAGGACACGTTCTTTGGCATCTGGACCTGCCTTGGGGTCCCTATCCAGGGCTACTCCTTTTTCCCTGGGGAGGAGGAGGTTCTGATCCCCCCCTTTGAGACCTTCCAGGTCATCAACGCCAGCAGACCTGCCCAGGGCCCTGCCCGCATCTACCTGAAGGCGCTGGGCAAGCGCAGCTCATACAACTGCGAGTACATCAAAGGTGAGGAAGACACACCTGTGCAGAAGGCGGCCTCCTCATTCCCAAGACCTTTTATCTATACAGACCCCCATCCCTGTGTCCATGTGACACTTACAGAAGCAAAAATCCAAACTGAGTGAGCAGAACCAGCCACGGGGGAGCATCTTCTCCGCCTCTTCCAGCTACAGGGATAGCACACTCTGTCCTTGGAGGGATCCATGTCAGGGCTGCCACTTGCTTGCTGGGAGGCTGCGGCAGGCTTCCTGACCAAGGCAGGGGTCCTAGGCCATATGAAGGGCAGGCATCCCCAAGGGTGGCAGGGAATTAATTTCTGACTGCAGTACTGACGCCCACACCACCAGTGCCAGAAATAAACAGAGCCTCCTCCTAGTTTAGGCGAGGCGTGAACTTATGAGAGAAATAGGGATTGAGTAGTGTTGCTGGGGTGGGAGGTGAGGTGAGACGGCAGGTGGAAGATGTGCCCCAGAGTTGAAATGCAGCCTGTGGTCAGGTAGATGGAGGCTGCTCCCTGGTCCATGCTCTCAGGACTGGCCAGATGGGGAAACAAGAGGATGTGCCCAGGGGCTTCACCCTTGCAGGGGCTGTGGCCTGCTCTCCTGGCTGGGCACAGCCCGGTCTGTATGGCGAGTGGCAGGGAGCTGATGGGAACTGTGGCTTCAGTCCCCCGCCAAGGCTGCATTCTGAGTGTGCAGGTTTTGCAGACTCTACTGCAATTTTTTTCTTTTTTCAACAGGCAGAGTGGACAGTGACAGAGACAGAGAGAAAGGTCTTCCTTTGCCGTTGGTTCACCCTCCAATGGCCGCCGCGGCCGGCGTGCTGCGGCTGGCGCACCGCGCTGATCCGATGGCAGGAGCCAGGTGCTTCTCCTGGTCTCCCATGGGGTGCAGGGCCCAAGCACTTGGGCCATCCTCCACTGCACTCCCTGGCCACAGCAGAGAGCTGGCCTGGAAGAGGGGCAACCGGGACAGAATCCGGCGCCCCGACTGGGACTAGAACCTGGTGTGCTGGCGCTGCAAGGCGGAGGTTTAGCCTAGTGAGCCGCGGCGCCGGCCCTGAGTGTGCAGGTTTGATGGATGGTGAGGAGGACGCAGGAAGGGCACAATGCAGTCCCTCCTCGGCTGCAACAGGCACGGGAGAGGCCGCGTGTGCCTCAGAGACACAGAGACAGAGACGGATAGACTCCTATGCACAACAGCCAGGCTAGGCCAGGCCGAAGGGAACCCAGAGCTCAATGCCCGTCTCTCGTGAGTGTGACAAGGACCTGACTGCTGGAGCCACCACCTGCTGCCTCCCAGGTGCACATGAGCAGGAAGCTGGATCCCGGAGGGGAGCCAGGACTGGAACCTGGTTGTTTCCATCAGCGTCCTAACCGCTGTTCCAAACGCCTGCCCAGAGCCTTTGATTTCTTCCTCTTTCTTCCTACAGAAATGCAGTGCAAGTCTAGGCCCTGCCACCTGGACAATTCAGGTAACGGCTTCCGTGGGACTGGGCTCGGGGTGAGCACTCTTGCCTGGGCTTGGGCCCCTCACCTGGATTTTCCTTAGAAAGAAGACAACCTTCTTAACCAAAAAAGCAAGCCCTCTTAACTGATCTGTCCCAGGGGATGTATGGGGGTTCTCTAAAAAGTCTGTGAAAAACAGAACTCAAGCCTGTTTATTTTGGTGCGGTAATTGAAACCCAAGAGTAAGCCTTTAGCTTGTCAGTGCAGATGCCACGTTAGAATCCAGCGCTGAACCAGCCTTCGCTTCTGCGTCCAGTTCCCTGCTGATGCAAACCCTGGGTAGGAGCAGCAGGGGGAGCTCAGACACTGGGTGCCCACTTCCTCTGTGGGCGGCCTGATTGAGTCCCAGCTCCCAGCTCCCAGCTTGGCTTGGCCCAGTCCCGGCTGTTGCAGGCATTTGGGGAGCTAATCAGTGGATGAAAGCTCCCTCCCCACCCACCACTCAAATTTATCACACATCATTTTCCCCACAGTTTCTGAGTCCCCTCATACGTGTGGAGGTGTGGTGGAGGCTGAAGTACCCCATCTGCGGTGGGGCCTGCCCTTCCCTCACTGTCAGGCCTCAGAGAGCTTCCAACTGTGCTGAGGCCAAGTTGGGCTGCTCCCCACCATGTCCCTCCTTGGGCCTTCTGCAGCTAACAGACAGCTGCTGCCCCCACAGCTCCCCCAGACCCACCTTTGGAGGTTGAAGCCAGACCATGGGTGCTGGAGGCCTGGGCCCTCATCAGGTTCTGCCTTTTCTCTATGGCCAACCTATTCTTTCTTTGGGCCTCAGTTTTCCTGTCTGTGTAATAGGCAGAAAGGACAGATGATCGCCAAGTCCCTTTCTGCTGAGAATTTTCTCTTCTCTGGGACACCTGCTGTGCTAGTTGTTGTAAAGGAGGGGACAGGTCATTCCCAGGAGAGAAACTGCAGCTCCTACCCAGCTCTTGGGCTCTCCTTTCTCCCTTGTGGCGCAGTGAGCAGGGACAGGAAGGATACCTAGCCCCTGCCCACCCCGCGCCCCTACTCAGTGACACAGTAACAGCCAGAGCTTCAGGCACAGCTTGTTAGTTATTCTTGTGAACCCCCACTGTGCAGGGACAGCTTCAGCTCTGTCCTACTCCCTCAGATAACAGAAGGTGGCAGCGAGGACCTGATGACTTCTGGAAGGACTGGGGCTCCCAGCGCCCTCTTCACCTGTCTCCCTGCCTCCCTCAATTCCTCCCTTCCTGTCTGACCCCTGTCACATTCTGCGTACCAGCGATTTTCAAAGCTACGAAACCAACCGATCATTGTCTCTCTGTCTGCAGCCTCGGCTCAGGAGCGCCTCTCCACAGCCTGGTCCCTCCTGCTGCTGCTCGCGTTCCTTGCGGTGGGGCCCTTCCCAGGAAGCCCAGGCCTCTTCTGACCCCCCAGACTCTGGACATTCCTGCCTGCTGCCTCTGCCCACTCTGTGGATGCTGCCCACCCCCAAGGTGTACAGAGCCAGGATCCCTGGCACACCCATCTGCTGGGATCTCCAGCTCGCTCGCTCGCTCTCTGTCTCTCTCAAGTTGCAAGACCTGCTGGTGGAGAAACAGGAGAGCATTTGGGGACTGAACCTCATCCAGATCTAGGAGTGAGACTGTGAATGGGGGTGGGGGGTCAGGGTGAACTCCAGGACAGACGGCAACTCACTCGTAGAAGAGACTTCCACTCATGTCAGGGCTGAAGGGATTTGAGAGTGGGGTCCCTCTAATGCATCACCTGTCCACCTGGAGGCTCCTATTCTCCCCTCCCAGCAGTCCTCTCTGACCTCTCCCACCTGCTGGGGGAGGGGCCCTGCCTCTGTGCTCCCACAGGGCCCTGGTCCTTCTCTATCACCTGTCCACGTGTTCCTCCCGTGGATGACCATCAGCTTCCTGAGAAGAGACTGTTTTGACACACAGAGACGGCTCCAGGAAATGTGGGAACCAGACGGGAACAAATACCTGTGAACGGCTCTCCCGCACTGTCCCCAGCTGGACAAGTTCACATTCTTGAATGTCACTCTGGGGCAGGGGCTTGGACTGGATCCAGCCTGGGGGACAGGGGCAGAGGGAACTGCAGGTTCTCTCAGGGCTCAGCAAACCCTAGTCTCTGTCTTGAGGACAAAGCTGTGACTCTGCTCCAGTCCAGGATGCTGAGGTCCTGTCTCTAAAGAGACAAGCCGCTTCCATGGCTTCCACCACCGCTGCCCCAAGGGTAGGACAGGACACGGGGCAGGCACAAGGTACACACTCAGTTTATTATCAGCTGGGGCTTCACAGCCAATTGTTGGTGTGGCCTCCTGCTTTGGAATAGGCCATGAATCCCAAACTTCCCCGAGTCCCAGGGAAGGACAGGCAGGGCCCAGTCCCTCTCACAGCCACCGTCAGGCACAGGAAAGCTGGCAGTTGTGGTCCCTCACTCCCACCGAGAGCTCTGACAGCAGCCTGAACGCGTCAGTCCCCACCACTGAGCTTGGTCCTGAGCCTCCGTGGACTTCCTCCTCCCTAGGAACCAGGGGAGGGCAGGCCCTGGACTTGCCCTAGCTGGGCTGCACAGACAAGTGCCCCTCTGTGGGATGTGGCATCAGCAGTGCTGCTCCTCAGGAAAGATGGCCCAGGTTTAGGAGCAGCAGGGAGAGACTGCTGGGCACCAGCTGGCCTTGGCCATCCCTGTCTGCAGTGCTGCGGCTGTCACAGGCCCCAACCCAGACCCTCACAGGGCCTGCACCAGCACCAGGAGGCTCATGACCAAGGCCATGCCGAAGAAGATGCCCAGGAAGAAGCGGTCCATCACGCGGGCCAGGCACTTCCAGTCCTCATGGTGGCGCTGGGCATCCCGATGGCTGTGGAAGGTGCTGGCAGTGGTGGCCACGTAGCTCAGCAGGGCTTCCTGACGGCACAGACACCGTGACTCATGGCAAGGGCCTCCTGGGGGGCCAGTCCCTTCCTCGGGTGGCTGTGGGTTGGGAGGCGACTCTGGTGGCCTAGACTTCCCTAAGGGCTCCCCTCGTTCCCGCACGCACAGGCCTCATACCAGGTGTCCCAGCAGGAGGACTCCAGCCCAGGTGGACACTGTGGGGGCACTGGGACCACAGGAATGCAGGTTCATGATAAGGATGGTGAGGGCTATTGAGAACATGACCATGGTCATAGTGGCCATGTAGTACTTGCCTGCAAGAGACAGAGCGATTCAGCAGCGCCTCCAACAAGCACTGGGTAGCCCCAGCTTCCCATGTGCACAAACAGGAACAAGCCAGGAGGCTCTCAGGACCCCACCCCACCAAGCCCAGTGCATGGAAGCAGGGGGAGGTAAGGGTCCAGCTCTCTCCACCCCTGTTTCCTGCAGGTGCATTCTCAGGAGCTACAGTTGTCCCAGCCAGAAGCTCATTCACCCACAGTCCCTAAAAGTGCCGCTCTGGGCCGGTGCTGTGGGCAGGGGGTTGAAGCCCAGCCTTCAGGAACGAGGTCCCATGTGGGCACCTGTTTGAATCCCAGTTGTTCAACTTCCAATCCAACTCTCTGCTATGGGCTTGGTAAGCAATAAAGGATGGCCCATGTCTTGGGTCTCTGCAAACTCGGGAGGTCGGGAAGAAGCACCATTCCTTGTGTCCATTTGGGAGTGAAAGAGCAGATGGAAGACCTCTCTTTATCTCTGCCTCTGCCTCTCTAACTCTGCTTTTAAAATACAGAAATAAATCTTTTCAAAACAAGAAAAAGAGAAGTGCAACTCTGGAGCAGTCAGGGGCACTACCTGGGCACTGTCCCTTCCAGCACATCTGGCATAAACAAGAAAATCCTTCAGAGGTTCAGCGCTGCATGTCAAATGGGAAGGCGGACGAGCTGGGGGTGATGGCCGGCCCGTCCCAGTGCACGGCTGCTTCGTGCCGCAACACCACGTTTGTGCTGGCTGACACCAGCTGCTGTGCGTCTGCCCAGCAGGCATGCGGGGCAGAGTCACCCAGGCGCCTTCTATCTGAGCAGGGACCCTCCAGGGGACTCTGTGACCAGAGGGACACCCTGTGGTCTCTGGGCAGCAGCACAGAGGGTGGAATGCGCCCAACAGAGGGCGCTCTGCCGTTGCACAGCTGGGAGGGGCCAAGTACAGGGGCCCCACAAGGAGCACAGGTTCAGCTCTGTGCAGTCTAACAAACAGAGCCCTGGAACCCGGGAGCAGCCTTGTTGCTCCTGAGCTCTGGCCTCACCCTTCCAGAACCCTCTCCTCCCTCTTTCCCTGACTCAAAGCCCCCGCGCCTCTCCCCGTCTCCTCTCAGTGTCCACTCTGCTCCCTCCTGCACACCGGCCCCTGCCGAGTTCAGATCTCCCAGACAGAACGCCCCATTTCCCTCCACACCTGATCATCATTCACTCCATCTACTAACGAGCACCTGCTCCGTCCTGGGCCTACAATAAGAGCAAGAGGAGCCTTTGGGTCTGCTCTGTAGGGAGAGTGCCAACAGTGAATATCTGTCAGAGGGCCAATCTCCCACGAGGCGTTCTCCCTGCACAAAGCCACCGTGACATCAAAGTTCAAACAGTGGCCCCCAGGACACTCTGCGGGGGACGATGGAGTGGGAGCACAGGACACACGTGTTGCCTATTTCGAAGCTCACCACCCTGTGTACACTGGTGTGCTTTCCTACACTAATTACACCTCACTTTAACTGGAGAGAGAGAAGAGGGGCCACGCCAAGGCTCACTGGGTTAATCCTCTACCTGCGGCGCCGGCATCCCATATGGCACTGGGTTCTAGTCCTGATTGCTCCTCTTACAGTCCAGCTTTCTGCTGTGGCCCGCAAGGGCAATGGAGGATGGCCCAAGTGCTTGGGCCCCTGCTCCAAAATGGAGCATCAGGAGGAAGTACCTGGCTTCTGGCTTCGGATCAATGTAGCTCTGGCCGTAGCGGCCATTTGGGGAGGGAACCAGCAGAAGGAAGACCTTTCTCTCTGTCTCTCTATCTGTCAAATAAATAAAAAAAGAGAAGAAACACTGCTCAGTTCTGTGTTGCAGAGGGATGCCTTGTGTAATAGAAAAGTAAAAAGTGAACGGAGGTGAAAGAGGAGTTTCATTATAAAAAAAAAAGTGCCGGCGCCACGGCTCACTAGGCTAATCCTCCGCCTAGCGGCGCCGGCACACCGGGTTCTAGTCCCGGTCGGGGCGCCGGATTCTGTCCCGGTTGCCCCTCTTCCAGGCCAGCTCTCTGCTGTGGCCAGGGAGTGCAGTGGAGGATGGCCCAGGTGCTTGGGCCCTGCACCCCATGGGAGACCAGGAAAAGCACCTGGTTCCTGGCTCCTGCCATCGGATCGGCGCGGTGCGCCGGCCGCGGCGGCCATTGGAGGGTGAACCAACAGCAAAGGAAGACCTTTCTCTCTGTCTCTCTCTCTCACTGTCCACTCTGCCTGTCAAAAAATAAAAAAAAAAATAAAAAATAAAAAATAAACAAAGTCTCCTCTGTTTGCAGCCCAGAGAATAGAAACCATGTTGTTACCCTTGACCTTGCCGCCTTCTCCTCCCTGTGGCCCAGCAGAGCCAAATCTGGGGACTTCCACAGGTGACTCTGGGTGCAGCCTCAGCACCTTTTCCTTAGGCCACGGGACAACGCCCTCAGCCCACTCCACAGCTCTGCCCTATGCAGGGTCAGAGGCTCTCATTCTCCACCTGTTCTCTGCAGGGCAGAGGGCAAGAAAGGAGTCGTCAGAGCTTTAGTGGCCCCGAGAGCTTTGCTGCAGACCTGTTTTGCTGTGTGCCGCAGACTCTCGGCAGCACACAAACACGTGTGCTCACGCGTCTTCTGGTTGTCTGTAGATCGGCTCCTCTGAACTAGACGGCTTCAGGCTGCCGCTCCTGCTCCCCTGGGCTCCTACTGTTGCACACTGGGCTGGGACCTGCTGCTGTGGATTCATCCCGGGCTCCAGGCTGAAGGGGCAGCTCTGGTCGACAGTTTGTAAGCTTTATAACCCAATGAGAAAATTCTCTTGCTTGGTACGGGTTGCTCCCCTAGCAGACCAGAGTGACAAGGACTCGGGTGCGGGAAGTGTCTTTGTAGGGGGTCCCAGGTGGCCAGAGGGACATGAACTCGCCTGCACTTTTTGCCCAGGTTTGTGGTGAAGCCTCAGGCACTCAGCTTTGCAGGCCTGGAGGTGGGAGGCTGCCAGCACACACGGGAGCCCTCCCGCCATGCCCTTGTATGGACGGGAAGGTGGGCTCAGGGGATATGGCTTGAGAAGCCAACAGGCTCAGGTACACTCTGTTAGCCCACGCCTGCACATCCAAACTCAGCAAGATGCTAACTGACCTCGCTTGAGTCACATCCAGCCATGAATCCACCACAATGGCTAAGGCCTTGGAGCACCAGGCCTGAGTCAAGTGCTCAGCCCTTGGGGGCACAGAGTGAGGACAGCCCCGCCTGAACCCAGGGATCTGATTCTCCATAAACCAGAGCTGCTGAGGATTCTCCAGTGGGTCCTGAGACCACAGACAAAGTTGGAGCTATTTATGCTGCTGCACACTCCACTGTTGGCCCAGCATCCTCCCATGGGAGGCGTGTCTTGTGCTGTGCATCCCACCATGGGGCCTCTGGCAGTGCTGCATGCTGTGTGTGTCCTCCCATTTCCACGGTGTGGAAATAGCGGTCCTGGCTCACACGTGTTTTGGTTAGGAGCTTTGTGTTCCTTCGGTAATGTGTGTCACCCACTACTCAAATGACTACTCCCAGTCATCTCAGCAACCACAGCCTGAAGGCAGCAAGGATGTGCGTTCTGTTTTGGTTCCTAATTTTACCCTCAGGGCCTGCACGCTGCATTAGCCCACAGGGTGTCTGTGGGATAGATGAGTAAGCAGGACCTGAGGGAGGGAAGATCCCAGGTCCAGTTTGGGACCCGCTGGGTGTGGTAAACTCTGCTGCTACCCCACTGAGCAGAGCAGCTCGGTTCTCACCTAGGAGCTGTACTTTGGTCCTTGCTGAAGTGCTGGGAAGACAACCAAGAACAGACCAATTCTTGGGCTCCTGTTCTCATATAGTTGTCAAGGATGAGGTTCCGGGTTCCTGGTTTCATCCTGGCCCAGCCCAGCAGTGGTGGCCATCGGGGAGTGGTTCAGTGCATAGAAGATCTGTCTCTCTGCCTTTCAAATACAACAAATAAATATTTTTTTTTTTTTAAA